TTTTCCCCAGTCTGCATTGGCTCCAATTAATTTGTAATTTCAACTAAAAGTGGTGTTTCTAAACAAAGCACTACTTAATGTAGGCTAAGATGCCCTAGAAGAAATCATCTATTCCATTAGCCATATGGAATTGGCTCCAATTATCTTGGAAATTTTTCCCATAAGCAAGACATAGAAAGGATATTTTGGATTGAGATAGCATTTTTAAATGATATTTTTTAGCTCAGTGCTCTCTCCATTGCACTTTCCTATTGTGGTATAAATATGTAAAGGAAAACAACACTGAAAGACTTCAGATTTCTGATCAATACAGTGATCACAATCATAATTTTAGAGGATTGTCAGTGAAGCATGCCTCCTGCCACTCTGATGAGAGGTGCTGGAATATAGGTGGAGAATCTTCCTAAAATGCAGGTCTGTTCATACACCCTATGCCACCTCACATTCAACAGACTTCAGTGGTTTCCTATTATCTCCAATATCACAAAAGGGCTTTTCAAGCCCTTCATAGCCAGGTCCCTTCCTACCATTCAGTCTTCTTATACCTTACTCCCTTCCACAAACTCTATAGTCCAGTGACACTGGCCTCCTTGCTTCTCCTCAAACACAACACTCCATCACCCAACTCCATGAATTTTCACCCGGCTATCTTCATCTCCACCTCATGGCTTCCCAGGGTTCCTTCAAATCTCTGCTAAAATTCTACCTTCTACAAGAAGTCTTCCTTCATCCTCCTTAAACTTAGTGCCTTCTATAGATGTTTTTGATCCAAGAAAAAAAATTTTTGGTAAGCCCCTTAGAAGATTGATGCTTTTGGATAGAGTAAAAATTCTGTGGTTTCGTTTCCCTTGCTTATTAGATTTAACCTGAAAAAGCCACAAAGGTGCAGACAGCTTCAGTCTTTGTCATAGTACACTGAAAATTCTGACTTCAGAGGGAGGCTGAAATTGAAGTTGCTTTTTAAGGAAAAAAAAAAAAGAAGAAAAATCTCCTGATTATTCCCCTGAAATTTCTGCCCTTTGGTCCCTGGCACCTGGAACCACAATCAAATCAACTCTGCCATCGATCCTGAAAGGAGTATGTCGGTCTACGCCCCTGTGCCCCAATCACCATCTTTCCTAAGCAAAGTGCTCCTCCTTGACCATCACTCTCCTACGTGTGTTGTCTCCCCCTGTTAAAATGTAAGCTCCATGAGGGCAGAATGTCTTTGCTTTTATTTCTCTCCACAATGCTTAGCACAGTGCTTGGCAAATAGCATGCACTGTTTTTTTTTTTCTTCCAAGTCATTCAATATAAAAATAAAATATTCAGGGGGCAGCTTGGTGGTGCAGTGGATACAGCACCAGCCCTGGATTCAGGAGGACCTGAGTTCAAATCCAGCCTCAGACACATAACACTTACTAGCTATGTACCCTGGGCAAGTCACTTAACCCCATTGCCTACCAAAAAAAAAATAGTCTAAAATAGTAAAATATTCTCAAAGACACATCTATACTTATTGGTGCAAATGAAACACTTCTATGCTACAGATGATCCCATTTTCTATTAAATGTTTACTGTCTCCTTTTTAACACTGGTGTTATATTAGATGCTCCTTTCTCCCTTATCTCTTATATTAAAGTTGTCACTTATTTATGTTGGTTCTGCCTTTGAAACACGTCTCACATCTGTCCCCTCTTCTATTTCCATCACCCTAAAACAGACTATTATTACTGCTTGCATGGACTATTGCAATAGGACATCCATCCCTTCCTCACCCCAAACATTCCTCCCTACCTCTGCCAGAATAAACCCAAATCATGCCCTTACTCCAAATTCTTTAGCTGCTCTGTTATTGCCTATTGAGGATATTTCAGACTTCTTGACTGGCATCCAAGGACCACTAGAGCCTGGGACTACCCTACCATTCTAGCTTTATTTCTTACTCTTCTCCTAAATTTTATGCTGCAGACAAACTGGCTCAATACGTACCCTCAACATGCCCTGCACCTTCCCACCTCTATACCTTGGTTCACATGATTGACTACACCAGAGATGATCTCCCTTCTCTGCCTCTTACCAACCCTTTAAAAATCAATTTAAGTATCATCTGCAACATAACGCCTTCCCTAATTTCCAATCCTTCTCCAATAAATACCAGAACAAAAACACAAAGAAACAAGGCCTACTCACAAAAAGTTCTCCTTATTAGAGGCAGCTAGGTGGCTATGTAAATAGGGCACAGGACCTAGAGTCAGGAAGGCCCAAGTTCAAAGTCTCAGACACTTACTGCTGTGTTACCCTGGGCCAGTCACTGACCTCTGCTTCTGTTTCTTCATCTGTAAAACAGGGATAACAATAGCACTTATGTCCCAGGAGTATTGTGAGGATCTTAATTGATAATACTTGTAAAATACTTTACAATCCTCAAAGCAGCTATTATTATTCTATTGAGGGAAACAGCATGTATATATACAAATAAATAAAGGATAAATATATGCAGTTAGTCAACAAGCAGTTATTAAGTGCTTCCTATATGCATAGGGCAGCTAGGTGGTACAGTGGATAGAAAGCCAGGCCTGGAGTCAGGAAGACTCATCTTCCTGAGTTCAAATCTGGCCTCAAGACACTTACTAGCTATGTGACCCTGGGCAAGTCACTTAACCCTGTTTGCCTCCCTTTCCTCATCTGTAAAATGAGCTAGAGAAAGAAATGGCAAAGTGCTCTAGTATCTTTGCCAAGAAAAACCCAAATGGGGTCACAGAGAGTCAGACATTATTGAAAAATGACTGAACAACAACAATATGCCATGCAATGTGCCAAGCACTGAGGATACAAAAAAAAAAAAAGGTAAAACAGTTCCTTCCCTCAAGGAATTCACATTCTAATAGAGGAGACAATATGCAAACTATGTGCATACCAGATATATGCAGGATAAATTGGAGGTAATCTCAGAGGGAAAGCACTAACAGCACAGCAGACTGGGAAAAACCTTTTCAAGGTGAGATTTCAGCTGTATCTTAAATGAAAATGGAACCCAAAATGCAATCAATCAATCAATGCTAAAAAGTTAAATGCAAGGTAGTTAGGAAGGGAGGGCACCAGGGACTGGGGAGACTGGTAGAAGCTTCAAGAAGATGGTGTTTGAGTTACATCTTGAAGGAAGAAAGGAATTCTATTAGGCAGAGATGAGAAGGGAGTGTATTTCAACCATGGAGGGTGACCAGCACAAAGGTTCAGGTATGGGAAGGTGGAATTCCACATCTGAGGAAGAGAGAAGACAGTCTGGCTAGATTGTAGTGTGTAGGAAGATGAAATGGGAATGACAAGGCCGGAAGGCTAGGTTGAGGCCAGGTGGTAAAAGGCTTTAAAAGCCAAACTGAAGAATTAAAATTTTATCCTTAAGAAAATAGGGAGTCACTGCAATTAAATAGGGGAGTGACCTGATCAGATCTGCTCTTAAAGAAAACCATTTTGGCAGTTATGGCCACTCTTTTGTTCTTCCTCAAACTCCACTACTGATTGTCAGAACTTCCTTCTTTACAAAAAAAGTTCATTCCATCCCAGAATTCCCTCCCTCTGATTAGTCAGTTTCTCCCTCCATTTTAAGGAAAGTGCCCAGCCCGGTCATGTTCATTCCTTAATTCCTCTCTAGGCACTGCTCCAGACTCAGGATTTCTCTTTCCACCATGCCTCCTTGAGGACGCCTCTTCCCAACCTTCTTTCATCTTCTTTTTATGTGGTTTTTTTTCCCCTTGTTAGAAAGTGTAAGCTCCTTGAGGTCATGGACATTTCTTTTTGCTTGTTTTTGTATTCTCAGCACTTAGTACAAGGCCTGGCACATAGCAGAAACTTCAAAATTGCTCACTGACTTAACTAACTTGACAATTCGTGGAGGGTGGGTTGGAGTAGTAAGAGACTTGAAAAAGAGAAACCAGTCAGGAAACTACTACAATAGTTCAAGTGAGTTATGAAGAGGGCCTGACATAAGATGGTTACTAAGAGGGGAAAACAGAAGAGATGTTGTAGAGGTCTGGCAATTAATTAATATGTGGGACAAGAGAGTGAGGAGTCGAGAATAACAGTAAGGTTACAAATCTGAGAGACTGAAAGAACAGGGGTACCTTGACAGAAATGGGCAGGTTTGGTGGGGAAATATAACAAGTTCTATTTTAGACATGTTGAGTTTGAAATGTCTTCAGGACAAGCAGACTGAAATGTCCAATAGGCAGCAAGAGGCACAGGAGTGAAGTTCAGGGGAGAGCCTGGAACCAGACATCTAGATGTGAGTCATCTGCACAGCAATGATTATTAAAGCCAAGGGAGCTGAGCAAGTAACCAAGAGACAGAATGTAGAGAGAGAAGAAGGCCCAGGACAGAACCTTGAGCATGATACAGGTGATGAGTCAGAAGGAGCCTGAGACAGGCTGGAGAACCAGGAGAGTGGTGACAGGAGAACCCAGAGAGGAAACAATCTACGAGGAGAGGATGGTCAAACACTAACTACTATAGTCTACTCATCTTCTCAGATTTTGAATTTATTTTAACAGAATAAAATCCTTAGTAAACAATGTCATAGTCATGCCTGGAACAAACCTTAAAAATCATCTAGTTAAACTTCCTTGTTTTATAGGTGAGAAAACTGTCCTCAAAATGGTGGCCTATTTAGTAGATTAATACTAAAAGCAGACAATATTTACAGCTCAGGTGAAAGATGTTATAATTTCATGCCAGTAAGAAGCTCCAGAACAGGAATGACATTTTAACTTATCACACTATGAAATTACCTATATCCAAATATAAACTGAAATGTTTTATAAATACACCTTGAAAATTCTGTAGATACCCCACTGTGTTAAGTCAGCATTGGTTGCACAGAATGAATGACCTTTGCACATCATGCAAATAGTGAACACATTTGAATGTTTGTCAACATTAGTTAAAATATAAGTCAAAAACTCCAATAAGGATGAACAAAAGGGGGAAAAAGGTTTTATTAATGATCAAAAGTTTAAACTTACCTTGTAAAAATTCCTCCCTGAAAGCAATGAATTAGAAGACTACAACTCAGCCTTTTCTGACCTGTTTTCTGAAAATCTTCCTTGTACCACATAAAACTAAAACACTGGACCACCCCTGCTGCAATGAGCACAAAGCTCACTGCTAAAATACCAAAAATATGCTGTCCTTCATAGAAAAAATTTACAGACACCCAGATATCCACTATTAAATCAGCCATATAGATTAGATTACCAAGAACTAACATCACAAAATTCCATTTTGTAAATCGCATTATGAGACACTATAGTTCTTGGCTGCCTGCTTCCTATTATTTCATATATTTAAAAAAATGTGGGCAATTAATATTAATGCATTCTTCACCGTAGTACTGAATTTTAACATCTATTGACTCAAGTCATAAGAAAATTAATGAGACTATAATCTTTTCTAGAGAACCAGTTAGGACACTAGATGCTGAGACGGAGCATTCAATTGTCTGTTTCAAAATAAAGATGATATCTGCCCTTGTCCCAAATGACTGCACCTAAAGAAAAAAAAGAAGGGAAAGCTCATGAGAATCTTGAACATGATATTCAAAATACTAAAAACTAAGAAAGCAAACATCCATGGAAACATAGCTCCAGAGCTAGAAAAGATCTCAGAAGTCAGAGGCATCAATGCTCACTTCACTCCCTGGTATGGCCTGAACCTGATTAAAATGTGGAAATACTTAATAAAATAAATAAAATAAAATAAAATAGAATATACAGAACAGTAATATGTGGTTTTCTAAGTTAATATGCAGCCACAAGGATCCTTATATAAGGTTTGTCATGTTGTTTCAGTCGTGTCTATCTATGATCCCATTTGGGGTTTTCTTGACAAAGATAGTGGAGTGGTTTGCTATTTCCTTCTCCAGCTCATTTTTACAGATGAGGAAACTGAGGCAAACAGGATTAAGTGACTTGCCCAAGGTCACACAGCTCGTGTCTGAGGCCAGATTTGAACTCAGGAAGGTGAGTCTTCCTGAATCCAGGCCTGACACTCTATTTACCTCCACCGAGATGCCCTATGTAAGGTTTATTGGCCTCCATCTCTATTTGAGTTTGACATCACTGATCTAGACCAATGACCTCATTTCACAGATGAGGAATCACAGAGGTTGAGCGACTGATGTGAACCTCTTACTCTTGCCCAACTAATATATTGAGTTAATCAATTAATTAACAAACACACAGTAAACGCCTACTATGTGCCAGAGATTGTACTATTTCATAAACTTTTTCTGCCTGTATTTACCTTTTAATAACACAAATTAATATACCCATTTTTTAAATGATTTTTTTCTTGTTGCTCACAGTACTTCACTTCTGGGTCCTTTTGCAGAATTTTACAAGGAGGTCTCACTGCTCCTAGAGAGATACTGTTAAACCTGAACTTTCAAAAGTACGAATCTTCCTGACAGCAGGTTACAGTGGTTAGAATGATGAAATTCCACATGTACAAAAATATTTATAGCAGCTCTTTTTGTGGTAGCAAAGAATTGGAAATTGAGGGGATGCCCATCAATTGGGGAATGGCTGAACAAGTTGTGGTATATGAATGTGATGGAATACTATTGTGCTAATAATGAGCAGTAGGGTTTCAGAAAAACCTGAAAAGACTTATATAGACTGATGCTGAGTGAAGTGAGCAGAACCAAGAGAACGTTGTACACAATAACAGCCACCATTGTGAGATGACTAACTTTGCTAGACTTAACAATGCAAGGATCTAAGACATCTCCAAATGTCTCATGATGGAAAATGCTATCCACATCCAGAGAAAGAACTACGGAGTTTGAATGTAGATCGAAGCATACTATTTGCTCTTTTTTTTCTTCTGGTTTGTTTTGTTTCCTGTTTCTGGTGGTTCCTCCTATTGGTTCTAATTCTTCCTTACAACATGACTGTGAAACTACGTTTAATAGAGGAATATATATATATATATATGTAAAGCCTATATCAGATTGCGGGCCATCTTGGGGAGGGGGGAGGGAGGGGGAGAAAAATTTAAAACTCAAAAGCTTATGGAAATGATTGTTGATAAATCAAAATAAATTAATAAAAGTTTTTAAAAAATGATGAGGCTCTGAAATCTTAAAACTCAAAGCTTCTCCAGGGTTGCCTTTGCCAAGACTACTGGTTCGGTGACCTTTTTGTGTAGCAGCTTCCTCATCTACAAAGCAGGAAGAGTCATACTCAATATAATACAACTCACCAGGAGGTTAGAAAGATTGAACAGAATGAGAGAGTTCACAAATTATTATATATATTGAAACTGTGTCCCATAAAAAACTAGGTTCCACAAGATACGACCAGAAGCTCCTTGAAAAACCAAAGTATAGTCTCATAATCTCAGGGTTATCTTGGACTTCTCACTCTCACTCCAGCTGGCTCTGGAGGAGAAGGTGAGGCTGGTGACTTTGTGTAGCTCTGCCTCACTTAAATCCAATCCACCTACACGTCACGGCATTACCTCCCTGAAGTCATGGTCCTCTTCGAGAATGAAGGACAAACAACCACCAGTATCTACTCAGGCACCAACTCATGTTGTTTCTACGTCCACAATGCTTCTTGGACCCAACCCCTCTGGACCACTAACATGCCACCACCCCAGTTGAGGTCCTCACTGTTTTTAGTCTAGACTATTAAAATGGTCTCCCTGTCTCAAGTCTCTCCCCTCTCTGATCCACACTCCATACAGCTACCTAAGTGATTTTCCTTACCAACTCCACTAGCTCCTTATAACCTCTAGAACAAAATGTAAAAAACTCTTTTGTTTGGCTTTTAAAGCCCTTAATAAATTGACCCTGGCTTATATTTTTTTTCTTTTTTTTTGGTTAGGCAATGGGGTCAAGTGACTTGCCCAGGGTCACACAGCTAGTAAGTGTTATGTGTCTGAGGTCACATTTGAACTCAGGTCCTCCTGAATCCAGGGCTGGTGCTCTGTCCACTGAGATACCTAACTGCCCCTGACTTATATTTTTGGCCTCCTTTGCTCCCCTTCCTGGAATCTATGGACAAGTCAAATTGTCCTCTCTGTTCCTAAAGCTTGACATCCATCTCCCATCTCTGTAAGCTTTACACCAGCTATCCCCTATGCCTAGAATGCATTTGCTCCTCTGAGAACTGCTAACTTCCTTTAAGAGATAGCTCTAACAATAATTATTTTTTTAAAGAGGTAGCTCAAGTCTCTTACTCTACCTGATGCCTTTCCTGATTCCAGCAAGGTTGCTGGGGCCCTCCCTTACCAACTATCTTATATTTAACTACCTTTTAATTTATATTTATTCTTCATATCCCTTATGTATATACTTATATACATATCCTAGGCCATCTCCAGTTATCTTGACTTTGCCACTGGACTCTGATGGCTCTGGAGACGACAGTGAGTCTGATGACTTTGCACAGGCCTGCCTCACTTAAATCCAATTCACTCGCAATTCAAGGCATCACCCTTATGATATCATTGGTCCTCTTCGAGAACAAAGGACGAACAACAGCAAAGTCATATATGTACATGTTGTTTCCCTAGATAGGCTGTAAGGCTCTTGAGAGCAGGAACTGTTTCAATTATGTCTCTGTATCCCGGTGCTGAACACATAGAAGGTACTGAATAAAAGCCTGTTGATTAAATGTTTGGGGTGTAGCATGGAAGCCGTCTCTACCATTATATCCAGGATGTGCCCTAATGTTAGAGCTAGAATGTGACTCCTTTTGTGCACTAGAAAGATAAAATTGCCTATCTAATGGGAAAGGAGCACATCTTCTAAAAATTTTAAGGTAGAAACAAGTAATTATAATAGCAGTTTCCAGAGTTTAAGAAATGAGCAGAATATATCAGTTTATAGATCCCAAAATGAGGAAGAGAGTATGGGTTGTTTTTTCTACCTTTAGGGAAGGAAAATATAGGGGAAATATCTTTTCAGAGGGAAATAGCTACTCAAACCATTCAATATGACAACAGCCAAAAAAATTCATTTACCTCCAGTTTATTCTCTCATCTAAATGTTATAATCTGAATCAAATCTGGAAGAGCCACAGTTTAAAGAAACTGCAAGAAATGTAAAGCTAATCTTTCCATATATACTTGAATTCAAGTATATTACATATATATTGTATATTACATAACTATAATTTTTTTTTTATCCAGTGGGAGACTGAAGCCTGCCAAGTATATTTCTTTTAACTTCTGTATCCATAAAAAGACTTTCCATTGTCTGACCCTGACAGGGAAGCCAGCAGCCACTCTGGATAAGAATAGCTTTTAAGAAAGTGAAAAGTAATTTCTTAGAAACTATAGGGGAAATTGCAGCATTGGCAGAATACCAGACGAAGTAGACTGATCTAATATGATGACTCCTAGGTTTCTAATTCAGTTTCGAAGAAAGCAATTACCTGATTAGAAATAAACTAATACACAAAGTGAATATGGCTGCTCTTGCTGGAAATGCCACCGGAACATGGGATGATCACACAGTTATATAACTTGTGTGAGGGGCACTACCAATGAGCTCTAATCATTACACTAACGTACAATTCCAATATGTAGTCAGGAAAACTACAATCAATAATAAAGTTCTGTAGCGTAAAGTCCTTCTGAGATTCTTACAACGTGTCACTTCTACTATGAACCAATATTGAGAGATGATGGAATCAGTCAGGCTATGTGAATCCCCAGCCAAAGTAAATAACCTTTGCACTCCGAACACAGTCCCTCTGAGATAACACAACTCCTGCTTTGAAAAAAAAAAAATCTAAACAGGATCTTCACTAGTTCAACAAATTTTTTAAATCATACAAAAAGTAGACTTACCTATCACAAATGTAAATGTTCTTTATCATTATAAATCTTCCTTTAACTCAGATTCTTCAGAAAAAAATTATCCTTGGCCACATTTGATTTCCTTCAAATTTAAACCAATTGTAATTAAAGAGGATATAAGTCTTTAAGATGAAATACCAAAATGAAACTCAAATCACCTGTTAGTCACATGTTCTACTATCCAATCTGCTGATGACATAATATCTATGATAAGCCACATTAAGAATACACCCCCTTTGTAACAACAGCTGGGGGCAGCACTAACATACACATAAGTTTATACCAAGTTTTTCCTTTACGTTCCAGTCCTCTTCCAGAGAACATTATTTTGTGTACATTTTAACCTATCTGATGAAATCATAATAAAGGACATTTATTTAGCATTTTGAAGTTTTCAGAGCACTTTATACCAATTATCTCAGTTCAACTTCTCAACAACCCTGTCAGAGAAGTACTGAAGACATTATTATTGAGGCTCAGAAGGTTTCAGTGACTTGCCCAAAGTATAAGAGGTGGTATTTGAACTCAGGTCTTCCTGACTCCCTGATCCAGCATTCTAGGCATACCATGCCGTCAAATTCTAATAAATCTTATTCTAACAGAATTCTACTGCATTTGAAAAATAGTAAGAAAATTTAGAAAGTTCGGAGTATGACTTCTTGGGAGGGGATTTTATTTAAACTTTTAATTTGTCATAGGATCATGGCATCATATAATTTAGAGCTAGAAAGGAATTTAGAGATCATCTAGTCCAACGCAAAGAAGTTAAGTGACTTGCCCAGGGCAATGAATAAATCCTAGGCATGAATAAGTTTTACCATATTAACAATGAACACTTATTCACAAGAAGCTGTATTAAAAATACCATCAAAGATATTTGTGAACAGAAGAAGAGGTAGGCTGATCTATTAGCAAAGATGAGAGTTCACTAATTGTTATATCCTATCAAAAGAACCAGAGGGAAGGTATGTAAATATTTTATGGGGGGATGGGGCAGCTAGGTGATGCAGTGGATAGAGCACTGGCCCTGAAGTGAGGAGGACCTGAGTTCAAATCCAGCCTCTGACCAAACACTTGACACTCACTAGCTGTGTGACCCTGGGCAAGTCACTTAACCCCAATTGCCTAAAAAGAAAAAAAAAATTTCATGGGGGGGCTGGTGACCTCCTTAAGGATTGGAATTGTTTTTGTCCTCTGTATACCCAGTGCTTAGTACAGGGCTTGGCACATAGAAATCTATTAATAAATGCTTGTTAACTGGTTGACTAACATGAATAGGTGTTGAATGAAATGAACAGGTGTGGATGGGTTGTGATCTGTACCACTAAGGGGGCACTCACACCAATGAAATCAACAGTCTGATGAGACCATATATGCATTGAAGAATTTTAAAATTCTCTCTCTGAAGAATTTAAAAGAAGGCATGCAGAAAAAAAACTCTTACCATACCTCCCCGCTCCCTTGCTAAATGGGAGCACTGAAAGGCACTCCTTATCAGGACATAAGAGAGGTAGAATCAGAGGTCATATACAAGTGATAATTTTGCTCTTTGCATGGTAAGTCATAGATCATGGAATTTTTGAGTTGTAAAGAGCCTTATACTATGACCACCACCACCCCATCCCTCCCAGGACCTTGCAAATTCTTCAAAATCTTCCAAACAGCTCAGTAATCATATGTTGGTTGTGTCGAACTAATTTTTTTAATTAAAATACAAACTGCTAGTCTTCCCATATGCAAAGAGGAAACTTGATCCCATCAGTTCAACAAAAGTCCTTAAAATATTTTTCCAAGAAAGGAATATATTTAAAAGGGGAGGTGTGGTATAATGGATAGAAAGCTGACCTTGAAGTTAGGAAGATGTGAACTCCACTCTTGCTTCTGAAACACTCTAGCTATGTGACCCTGGAGCAAATAACTGAAACTCTCACTGGTTGAGATAATTCTCTATATAGACTGCAGAGAAGATGCCAACCTTCATGTATAGAGGGAGTTTCCACAACAGCAGTCCCTTATGCTAATGAAATCGTAGGTCTGCTCCCCCCTCAAAGGTACATATTTTAGACAAGAGTCAAGAAATTACATATCCCACCAATAACTGTCATTCTATTTAAACAAACTCAGTATAGGAATACTAGATTTATAAAGAAGATAAATTAGGATCAGATTATATACTTTACATGCTTTTTTAATCAAGAGATTTCTTCTAAATAGCAAGCTACAAGTAATAACAAAATAATTCAGTTAATAAAAATTTCATAATCCTGGGAGATCATATAAACTAATCTTCTCCTTTGTATATACTTAAATCAGGTCTCAAAGGGATTAAGTGATTTGCTCAGAATCACAACGACAAAGCTGAAATTGGAACCCAGTTCTTCCAGTCCTGTGGGGCATTCACTATGGTCACCACAAGTAAACACATCCCTTGCTTAAAACAAATATACTAAATAAATATACATATATATAAATATATATATAATATACACACATTCCTAAAATGATACCCTCTCTGTACTTTTCCTGCATCAAGAAATGATAGGATGGTTATCCAACTGGAAACCTTATTTTAAACCTGAACAGATGCCTTTTCCTCATCTACATATGGAGGGGGGCAGTGCTAAATTCACATGATTCTGCAAAGTTCTTCGGACTAAAGTCTGAGGTTTCACCCACAGTAAAAAGAACAGAACTGGGTGAGTCATTAACAGCAAGGGCAGAACCTTCTTGGCACGTAGGAAAAGGCCTGCTTAACATTCCACATCTATAACACACATACACTCTCTGGAGATGAGAGTTCCTCAGCACCAGACCATCTCTACAATGCCGGCTACCAGGACACCAGAGGAGTAACCAGTTAGTCAATCAACATGTAACATGTGCCTGTCAAAGTGCAGAGGAGTAGGAAGGTGTAAGGGAGAGGCGCATTTAAATTCTAGGACTCTATGCAATTCTGTTCCCCGAGTGGTTGGAGGTGGGTTTGAAACATGCACCAAGTTATAATTCCCAAACGGGAAATTAAGTTGACTATTGTAAAATTATTACGTCTATCTTTTGTCCTTGCTGCAGATTTTCCATCTCAAAAAACCCCAAATAACCAGAGAGGTAGAGCAAACCCCCTTCCCCAAGATCACTTGCAGCTGTGATTTTATTATTCCGTGATAATCAGTAAAATGAAATACCCACCACCAAAACCCAAAGTGAAAACGATGAAAATCAGGAGAGCTAGCCTCGAGCTCCCTTTAAGTGCACGTGGCCACACCCAGCCCGGCCCCCTCCACTCCCTCCTCCCGGGCGAGGGCGGGGAAGGAGGAGCTTGCCAGACGGGGATCACGTGGTAGTCCTAGCCCAACCAATCGCTGCCCGCTCTGTGCGGCGGCGCGGGAGGAGTCCGGCCTACTCACCGCTCTGGGCCGGGCCTTCCCGCCCCCGCCGCAGGGCGGCGCCCCACTCCGAGGCGTCTTCTGCTGGGCTCGGTCACCGGAGCTGGATCAGGGGACAAGATGACGGCGGTCCTGCCGCGCATCGAGCAGCTGTCCTCCCGGGTGGTGCGGGTCCTGGGCTGTAACCCCGGACCCATGACGCTCCAGGGCACCAACACTTATTTGGTGGGGACCGGCCCCAGGTAACGGCCTCCCGGGCCAGGCTGCTGCGTGAGCTGCGGGGCCGGGGCCTGCTCCCTGCTCCTGCCCCCACGGGGGAAGGGGTCAGGCCGGGCCGGGGAGCGGGCACCCCCCCAGGTCGCAGTTACTGCTCAGATGAGACGCAGGGAGCCCCCCCCAACCCTCAAGTACTTTTAAAGAGCGTTGTGTTTTAGTTGGGGGGGGCAGAGGACCCCTCCCCGCTTCCGGCTACTGAGAGGGGGCAAAGGACACCCCTTTCCAGCTGCTGAGGGAGGCAGAGGACACCCCTTTCCAGCTGCTGAGGGGGGGCAGAAGACACCCCTTTCCAGCTGCTGAGAAGGGGCACACTTTCCCCCCCTCCTCCAACCGCTGAGCGGGGTGCCCGGGACACTAATGCCGCCGGAGCCGTGCCCCACTTTCTGTTTCTATGCGCACTTGGCTTGACCTCCAACTTCTCGGGGTGCGATCGTGGTGGATCCTTCCTAGGGGGTCCTTCTCTACACCTCCCACCGGAGGGCACTATCCTCCGCCTTCCCTAAGATCGGCTCGGTTGTAAACCCCGAAGGTCCCGCGTCAGCCCCGAGGGAGGAGTTGCAGAATCTCCTATTGTTTTCCTTTGCAAATATCCCTTGTTTCTGAGGATGTTCTCCTTTGTTATTTGTAGGCAATGCCATAGGTTCATATTTTGGTTGTGTTGCATTTTTAACTGTGCTTCAAATAAAAGGAGTAAATGAAGGTTGAAATTACGGGTCATATGGGGCTTACTTTCGTCAGCATAAAGCCTGATGTTAGAGCAGGTGGTGAGCTCTATCCGTGTTAGTTAGAATACAAGAAAAATTAGGCTTTAGACGAAAAGGTAAGCCGTTGTTCTCACCACCTTAACAAAGGATCAAAATAACATGAGAAAAGTTCACCAAATTTCCTTGAACTGTTCTGTCTTGTTACTGTGGAATCCTGGTGTCCTGGTGACAAGTAAATTTCTGGCATTTTAATGGATCATTTATTGAAATGACTTACTGTGTACTTTAGTACTGAGCTAAGCACCCTGAGGGAATGCAATGAAATAATTAAATAGAGGCCCTATTCTTAAAAAAGTTTAAAATCTTAATAGTGTGGGAGCAGTGCCCATACAATCTAAATTATGTGCTTTTCACACAGTAAACCCTTACGGTAGGGTGTGATTAAAGTTAGTGAACAGTAAAAATCAGCGGATGATTCTGAGCACCTATAAGTCCTCAATGTCTCTTTGATTTTCCCCTTCTTGTCACAATTAGAGTTGTGTGACAAATGGAAGGAACTAAAAGAAGGCTAGCTAGGGGGCAGGTAGGTTGCGCAGAGGATGGAGCACCGGCCCTGGAGTCAGGAGGACCTGAGTCCAAATTTGGTTTTAGACACATAATACTCACTAGCTGTGTGACCCTAGGGAAGTCACCTAACCCTAACCCTGATTACATCCCCCCCCCCCAAAAAAAAAAGTCTAGCTAGAGGAGAGGAGTCCAAAAGGTATAGTGTGATCAAGCAAGCCTTTACTTGATTCAAGGATACCAAGCAGGTACTAGATCTGAGGGTAGTAGTGTGTGTAATCTGGAAGATGTGTTTTTATGCTCATTGCTGTAGGTCAGCATTCTTACTGCTTCATTCCTAGTGTAGCCTCATCATTTCACACCTGCACTGTCTCTTAGCTGGTCTCATTATACCATCTTTCAGCACAGCAGTTATTCCATCCTGTATACTACTGTCAGATATTAATTTTCCTAGAGCACAGCTTTTACATGTAAAAGGAACTTTTATCTGTTTAAAAAAAAAAAGGTTGCTCAGGAATCTCTGATGGTTTGCTGCAATCTTATGCTCTTCTGAAGCACTGATTATATAACAGACACTCAATAAATACTTACTGATTATGGTAAGAGTTGAATTTTGAAGAGTGAGAATTTGGAATTTGCAGAAAGGAGTAAGTTCAATAAATCTTAATGTGCCTCTGAGTGGAAAGCTGTTACTGCTGCCTCACCCTGACCAGAGTGGGTTGAGGTTTTTTTGGTTTTCTTTTGTTTTTAAGCAATGATGAATTTTATTCATTTACAAAACAGGTGTTCATAAAACTTTTGCCATGTGCAATGAACATTGCATTTGGGGAGCTTTTCTTTATTTGTCTAAACCTTCAATTTCATCCTGTAGAGATTTCCCTGTGAGGCAATTCCCTTTACAATGCAGATCAGGAATGAGTGCCACAATTTTGAATTAGAGTCTTATTGTTCACTGAGAGTTTAAGTGTTTGCTATTATGTGAGGGAAGAGACTCAGTGCAAGGAGATACAGAAAGGACTATTAAGATGTCCACCTCCCACAGAACCAATCACAACATTTGCAAGAAGGCTACTTAGGTTAGGAGTATAGTTTAACCAGTGGAATAAAGCAAATCGAACAACTATGGCACAGAACCTTGTTCTTTTTATTTTTAGCTTCTTATCATTAATACTAACCAATCAGACTTTGTAGAATAGTTATTTCTTTTTCCTACGGAAATGACATACTTCCTCTAGATTTTTAAAAAATCCATTGATATAAGTTAACCCCTTATAAAGGATAATTCTAGTTGATATTATGATCTCTTTCCTCCTGTAAGTGTGGGGAAATTAGAAAAAAAAATTTTTTAAGCAAAGGAGGTTTAATTTTTTTTTCCCTAAAAGCCATCCTTTGTAACTAGATAATTATTCTTGGAATCCTGACAACAGTGTTTCCTTAGGCATTTTGGCCATATGCAGTTTTATAAGTTTGAAGTTTCAGGTGATTCCCATTACCAAAAGGCCTCAAAAGCAACCAAGGGTGTTGACACTGTTAAAAGAGCAACAAGAACCTCTATTGTTTATACAAATAAAATTACTATCCTCCCCTTCAGGTTTCCTTTTTCAGAAGCTACTCAGTCCTAAATACAGAGAGACAGCAAAAATCTGGAATGCTGAATTTAGGGATCCCAAAATATAGGAATGTCCATAGGAGGAATAGATCTTAAAATTACCTATCATACTTGATGCTATGTGCAGAGAAGTAACTGTACAAAGTAAATTAAAAACATAAACACCTAGATGTTTACTCTATGTCCTAGCACTGGAGCAAATGTGATAGGAAGAAAAAAGCAATTGGAAGAGTATGTCCAATATACATACTGTACACCAGAGGGTTCACACATGCAGCTGACAAAAGTCTCACATGAAACCAGAAAAAGATTAAATGTAACAGGAAAATATTTAACTAAATAAATAAAACAGTTAACATACATTTTAAAACCAAGTCAATATGTGGCTCACAGGGATTCTTCTGTACCAATTAGTAGACCCCATTTCTATTGATACCACTGATGTAGATGACAGTATAGCATGATGATACAACAGCATGAGCAAGTCCTGTTTATATTAAAGCTTCACTAATTTGAATTTCACTATTTGACGTTTGAGATTATTCCAACAAACTGTTGGAATTTATTTGCTTAGAAAACCTTTTCAAAATTCAGGTAATATAAACAGGATTGTAGAGAATTATTTAAAATTCGAATGTAAAGGAGAGAAGCTGGTAAGGATACAAACCTCCTTTAGGAGCTTTCATTTATATGTAAAAAGCTTATATTCTAATAAAGGATTTTTAATATCTTCATTAAATTGATTTTTTAAGAACTCTACTAGTCAGCACTGTTAGACTTTATATTTATAAAGTTATATTCCTGTAATTGACATTTTACTAATTTTAATTTCCTTCAAATTAATATGAATTTAGTTTTATTATGTAATCAAGAAAGAATCAAACAGAATGTGAAATGATAATTGAGAAGGGAACTATAAACCTAAAATTACATAATGTTAGAACTAGAGGTTTGAGAAATTAACATAATTCTACCATTTTAGAAATGGGTGAACTGAGGCCTAAAAAGAGATGTTTCCCTTAATTTGTGGTAGAAAAGGAGATTTTAAAGTAGGACTTACTCTTAAGAATGTTCAGAAACATAAGTGGAAATATCAGAGAGAAAAATTAACTTTAGTTTAAGTGGGGAAATTTTACCTATCCTATTTCCCATTTCATGCCTGAAAATGAAGTTATGGTTCATAACAAGCCTATGTAACTTAGTCACTATACCTAGTGTAGAAGAACAAACTTGTTTAGAGAAGCTATTCAGTCAAATCCTTTGGCTTCTGTTGGACACAAGACTATTGTAAGAGGTCTCTGAGTTCTTTGGTGTTTGCTTTGAGGATTGTAAGGCACTTTTCTTGTTATCTCACTTGATACAACAACATTATGAGGTGTGTGCTGTTGTCCTCATTTTACAGCTAAGGGAAGCTGAACAGAGGTTAAGTGACTTGCCCAGGGACACACAGGTAGATGTTTTGAGGCAGAATTTAAGGTTTCCAGAAGCTTAATAATAGTAGCTAGCTTTTATGTAGCATTTTAAAGCTTGCAAAGCACTTTACAAATACCATCTAATAGCTACCATTTATATAATGCTTACTATGTGCCAGACACTGTGAATGAGGAAATGGGTTAAGAGAGGTGAAGTCACTTGCCAGGGTCACACAGCAGCCAAGTGTCTGAGGCTGTATTTGAGCTCAGATCTTCCTGACTCTAGGCCATGTGCTCTATCTACTGGGCCACCTAGCTACCTCACTACTTATTTACCTCTCTTATAGCCTTCAAGAACTCAGGGTTACCTGTATGCCATGATAAGTTACTAGAATAGGATTTTAGTAGAATTTTCCTAAAATTTAGCTTAATTATCTGAAGGGCCAACATGCTACTATTATCTCATACTTCATAATTTTATGTCTATTTCTATCGTTTGATTCCATTGTTTAATTTGTTTTTTTAGGAGAATTCTTATTGATACTGGTGAACCATCAATTCCAGATTATATCAGCTGTTTAAAACAAGCACTGACTGAATTTAACACATCAATCCAAGAAATTGTAGTGACTCACTGGCACAGAGATCATACTGGAGGAATATTAGACATATGTAATAGTATCAATACAGGTAAGCAGAAATGTTCATTAATCCTATTAAGAAAACTGGTTTTAAAAGTCTTGTTTTAGTAAGCTGTTAAAGTGTTTACTGAGCTTTTCCTGTGTACATACTACTTCTGGGTATTATTTAATATTTATATGCCTGTTAAGTATTATTCTTGTTTTAATATAAAAGGAAGAGAAAAAATACAGTTTACTACTTTAGATGCCCTGCCCCTGTCCCCTTGCAGAAGAGGAAAAGATACCTTTCCACTTGGCGTAGGCTAAAGATTTATCACTCTGCTAAGCCTCTCCAAACTTGTTAGGCTGCTCCTTGGACTACAGGAATACAGGCCTCTTGCACCAGGCCTCTGCTCTTAAGTCTTTCCTTCAAGGTAGAACCTTCCAGAGCTTATATTCCACTAACATAGACTTCAACTCAATGTCACCTTCATGGCATAATGAGACATCAGAATAGCACATATGTGAAAAAGGTATACTATTCCAAGAATAATCTTGGAGTTTGAACTGAGCTTTAAAGGGAACTAGAGATATTAAGAAGCCAGTAATTAACACTCTTTGGGTGGTCATTCAATCAGCTACAAATTCATCTGGCTTTATTACCGTTTGAACCCATTTGTCCATCTTATCCACAAAGATATCATGAAAAATCTTGTCATATGTTTTACTGACATCAAAACTTATTACATCTGGAGCATTTCCCTGATCTACTAATTTATCAAACTGTGACATGAATATAGTTTGGCATGTCTTCATAATGAGCCTATGCAGATTCTTCATGATCATCACTTTATTTTGTATTTACTTACAAGCTATCCGTTAAATAATATATTCTGGAATGTATCCAGGAATAAATGTTAAATTCCATGTCTATAGTTTTTGGCTTTCCTATTCCCTATTTTAAAAAAGCAGAATGCTGGACTGTCTCTAGCCTTCTAGAACTACTCCAGTTCTCTAGAGTTCCTCAAAGATTATAGGCAGGAGGCAGCTAGATGGCCCAGTGGATAGAACACCGGCCCTGGAGTAAGGAGGACCTGAGTTCAAATGCGGTCTCAGACCAGACACTTGACACTTGCTAGATGTGTGACCCTTAACTGTCACTTAATCCCAATTGCCTTGCCAAAAAAAGGAAAGAAAGAAAGAAAACAAAACCTATTTTAAAAAAAAAGATTATAGGCAGCAGTTCTATAATCACTTCTTCAGCTTTTTTCATTTCGCTAACATATATTCATCTGGGCTATGACCAGTTCTCATGTAATGTAGCCATGTCAGTCAACAAGCACTTACTAAGTCCTTACTCTCTGCCAGACATTGTGCCAAGCATTGTGGATACAAAGAAAAGCACAAAACAGCCCTGGCCTAAAGGAGCATGCATTCTAAAAGGGGAAATCACATACATATGTCAATATACATGCAAAATATATACAGTTAGATGGAAAGTGATCTGAAAGGAATTGCATAGTAGTTGGAGGAACTGGGAAAGGCCTCCTTCAGAAGGCAGGCTTTGAACTCAGTCTTGAAGGAAGCCAGAGAAAACAAGAGGGAAGGAGAAGGGGCAGAGCATTCCAGGCATGGATGATATTCAGTAAAAAGGCACAGAGACAAGAGATAAGAGCGTCATGTTCAGCTGCAAGTAGGGCAGTGTGGTTGGATCAGTGGAGAGTAATAAAGTGTTAGAACACTAGAAAGGTAGGAAGGGGTTAGGTAAAGAATATGATTAAATATGATCCTGGAAAAAATAAGGAGCTTGTTACTAGACTACATTGAGCAGGGAGTGACTTGGTCAAACGAACATTTTAGAAAAATCACATTGGCAGCTAAAAAAAGGATGGATTGAGAGACTTGAAGCAGGTAGACCAGTTAAAAGTTTATTGAAGTAGTCCAGGTAAGAAGTAATAAGAGCCCAAACTAGGGCTTTATGACTGAAAGAGATACTGTGAAGGCAGAAACAATGTGTGGCCGCAGATTGGATATGTGTGGTGAGTAAGGAGGACAGTGAAGAGTAAAAGATGACAATGAGATTTCAAGTGGGTGACTGGGAAGATGGTGCCCTCAACAGTAAGGAAAGTTTGGAAAGGGGAAATTTTGGGGAAGGAGGAGAAAAAACAAGTTATGTTTCAGACCTGTTGTCTTAGAGACACCTGTTGTAGGATATCCAAAATGAGACATCTAAGAGGCAATTGGAGATGTAAGCCTGGTTCACAGGAGACTGGGTTTATGTGTATAGATCTGGAATCATCTACATAAAAATGAAAATTGAATGAGATCACCGAGTAATATAGTAATAATATTTTTTGTATCCTCAAGGATGAGTGTTTCTCATCGTGCCTGGACATATTTCTTCTATAGAATTTTCATCTATTGATGTTGTCTATCTTTCCTCTGAACACTTTGAAATCTGCTGTCCTTAAAAATAGTGCATCTCAAACGATGCCTAGCTTTTTCTCCTCTTTGACAAATTGAGGTATTGTAGCCATTTTCCCCAAAAGTTTCTATCATTTCCACCTCAGCAATTAGCTCCTCATTATTATTAAGAATTCAGAGTAAAATTTCCCTTTGTTGGTTTCTACATTTTTTTTTAACAAAGAATGAAATTATCAAGTTATTAGCTGCTCTACTTGTGGCATAGAAAGGAAGTTCCAGTGGATGTCTGGATAATTGAAGAATTCCATCCCTTTGATATCATGCCTGTTGTCAGGCTTATGATTTGTTTTCCAAACTCATCTATTTTCTCTTTCTGTTCAAGTTGTCTGTATGTACTCTAATGACAAAGTTACTAATACTTCTCCCCTTACTAATCCCACCCCAGGATTCGCTATCATGTTTTCCTTTTCTGTTTCCTGATTTTCTCACATGAGTCTACCTTCTTAATATATTACTGTTCCCTCCTTATGCTTTCTTGTTTGTTTTGAATAAGGTTATATCCACTGAGGGCCATATTCTAATCATACTTCAGTGATGCCTATGAAGGCACTTCTGCCTCCTGGCATTAGGATCTCTAGCTCTCTTACTTGTCACCTAAATTTTGTGGGTTTGTGTACAGATTTTGGAGCCTTGTGTTTTACTAATGGCTCATTTCTTAGATTCTTGTCTTCTGTGACCTTTCGGGTATCTGAACTGTTATTCTTCCTGCACTGTCGCTGTTATGTTTGGTATCTACTTTGTTGGAGATGCAAAGGTAGTTTTCTTCCTCTTCCATTTTAATTAAAATCCTTTTGATTGTATTCGAAAAACATCAGAAAAATACATTCTTACCAGCTTTTATTCGGTACATTCTGGCCAGGAGACCCATTATTCCTATGTACTATAAATCCAACTCCCAGTCTCAACACCATCTTCTTAGCCATCTATTTGTTTCCTAATTTAGCTTTTTTTCTGTATCCATTGTCTTCCATGGACAGCAGTGAGGGGGAAAAAACAAACTTGTGTCTCTCTAACCTTTACTTTCTTGCCTAAAACTTAATAATCTTTGTCATTGCTTTCTAGATTCCTTCTGGTACTTTGGTTTATGCCCACGTTAATCACCATAAGTGGTTAGTAGCCATGTGTTTAACAAGTCTGGGGGGAGGGATTCTTTATTTTGCCTGGGGCCGGGGCATACACCCCAGAAAGATTGTAGCCTATTTATTGTTATTAAGTCAGTAAGTGCTCCCTTAGCAAGGAACCACCTATCACTATTACAGTGCTCTTTTTCCTCTAACCCTTACTGGATAACCTATTCCTGAAGCCTTCCGTGACTCTTACTTTATCATTTATTTGGTGGAGCACAAGAAACTATTTCTTCCTCAGCCATCTAGTTCCCTTCTCTTCAGGAAAAAGTTCACATTGTTTTTAGCATCTACTGTGTGACAGTCACTCACTCTCCAACCTCATAGCACAGGTCAGGTTTACTTTTGCCACTTAAATCCCTCCATCTATTGCTTCTCCCTCCACCTTCCCCCACTGAAGTCTTTCAGAGTATCTTCTTGACCTGCACTTTATTCCCATTGCTACTGCTTTAGACCAGAAGAGCATCATCTCATACCTTCATTTCTATATTAGTCACCTTTCTGGTCTCCCTGCCTCCAATTTTTCCCTTCTTTGATCCATTCTGTATTCTGCAGCCAGATTAAGCTTCCTAAAATACAGCTTTCTACATTTTATTCTCTTATTCAGGAATCATGATACGGTGGAAAGAGCACTGAACTTGGAGTCATGGAACCAAGTTTCAAAACCCAGCTTTGCCACCTACTTACTACTGACTGTTGGACCTTAGACAAGTCATTTCACATCTCTAGGCTTCAGCTTCCTCACCCATAAAATTAGGTATGAACTAGATGGCCTCTTAAGATTCTTCTACATTTAGATCTCTGATCCTATGATCACAATTATCTATAAAATCAGTTTTTAAAAAATCAATTTCAAATGCTTCTGCCATTCAGGGATCTCCAATAGCAGCTCAATTTTATATATCTAATCTTATATTCTGCTACTCCCCAACACAAAATTTCTGCTTTGAACAAGCTAATCTCTTTAGTGTTTTCTACATATTCCATGCTTATTCTTCAATTAATCAGATATTTATTGAGCACTTACTATATGCTGTGCATTGTACTAGACACTAGTGTTAAAATGGTGAAACAAGCTAGTCTTGGGGCAGCCAGGTGGCACAATGGATAGAGCTCTGGTCTCGGAGTCAGGAGGATGTGAGTTCGAATCCAGTCTCAGACACATGACACTTACTAGCTGTGTGACCCTGATTGCCTCACCAAAAAAAAAAAAGATAGTCTTTACTTTAAAAGCATTCACAGTAGGATAAGACCAAGTACATATGCAAGAGAGGTTCAAAAAGACTGAAGAGGAAGAGGTCATTTGCTGCTAGGGGGATCAGGGAAGGTTTTTTCTTCTTTTTTAAATTTTATTTTATTTTCAATTTCATATGCTCTTCATTCTATCCCCTCCTCCCCTACCCACTGAGAAGTTAAGAAAAATAAAACTCATTACAAATATGTATAGTTATGCAAAATAAAT